TTAATAAATAAAGGGGATTGATATTAGCGTTTTGGTTAATATTTTGATTGGCATTATTTTCGACCCTCGTTTATCGAGGTATTACCAATGCATCCCCGATACGTGCCATTTGGTCTGCTAATATCTCAAAACTAGTGGTAGTGTTTTGAACTAATGGATTTAGTATTGTAGTCAACTGTTGTGATAACATGTTAATCATCTCGAAATTGCTTTCATCCATTTGTTGCCGAAGCACTCCTAATGAATTACTGGAAATTCCAGTACTAGTGTTTTCGATAGTCTCGAAATTGGATCGATGATAATCTCTATCGAATGCATATCTCCCGTGATCCAGATTTACTCTGTGATCTAGATTAGATATTGGAGGCGTCTGTTGTGTTCCTAAAGTCTGTGCACTCCCTGAATTCTGAGGTGTTACCAAATTTTGAGACACCCCTAAATTTTGGGGTACTCCAAAATTTTGAGGCATACCTAAGGTTTGAAATGTTCCTAAGTTTTGGGACATTCCTAGGTTAAATCTCGTACTTCGTTGTATTGAAGAAGTGTCAGCCCCATTCATATTATTAAACGAAAAACCAGGTGGTCTTACACTCGTATACGGACCTGCGTATGTTGTTACAGGGTTTCCCGTAGTTTGCATATTATTTGACATTACAGTACTAAATCCTAACTGAGTGTTTGCCAATGTGTCTGGGTTTTGTTCAGTACTTACAGGCATCGACGTACTCACAGTTGTCGATATTACAGGCATATTCCCATTGTGAACTTGCCCCCCAATGTTTGGTGGATGTGAACTGTTTAGGATCTCACTGTTATTCTGATTATTTGGTGGATTTTGACTCATTCTTATTACTCGCCCACTTCTTAATCTCATACACTTTCGAACTAGCCAATTTAGTTGTGTTTTTCGACACAACTCTCTCCCCCTACCTGGTGCGCCAATTTGTTTCTGGCGAAAATTTGATCGATTTCGATTTTAGGTTCTGATCAAATTTCGACCACGTAGATTCTTTTCACTTAGGCTAGCGACAATTTTCAATCGAAACGTGTATGAGAATCGAAAATCCCATAGTGCCGAGAAACGCTAACAGTACAACCTAGTGTGCTGATTGACAATCGAAAGTACTACTTTTGATATTTTGTATTAAGAAACTCGAAGTAAAGATAACAATAAATAAGAAACTATTGAAGCGAAGAAATAGTACTGAATATCAAATTTCAGAAAAATATAAAAATGCGGAAACCTCAAATTGCATTAAATGTAAATGGCAAGGAATTGAAATTGCAAAAATGTAGATAACAGGAAATCGAGATTGTGAAAACAGTAAATGTAGAAAATCTAAGTACAGAATCTTATATTGCATTGAAGGTAAATGACAAAATTTAAAGTACAAGAACTTAAATTGATGAATGTAAATAAGTTACCAGGGAAAGTAAAGAAAGCGGTAAAAACAGTCAATGAGAATGGAAATCCAGATCGCCAGAAACTTCATGATTCGTCATTCTCCGGTAGACTTTTACTTATGCTTCTGTTGTCTCTGCCAATTTCCCCTTCTTCTTCAAGCTTCGTTCTATTTATAGGCATCCTTCAATATAACCTCCTAAGAGCAGTTAAAAAACTGTCACTACGTTCCATGTGCATTATAACCGTTTCTCGATTTCTAACCTTAGTTTACGGTTTAGAAAACCGCTTCCACGTTCCATGTGCATTATAACTGTTTCTCGATTTCTAACCTTAGCCGTGATGTGAAAAGTCACTCCTCATGTTCTATATGTATGATAATCGTTTCTCTCGATCTCGATTCCAGTTATTGAGCCCGATTTCCCTTAACTTTGACTTTACACTATATTTTATCATTACTTTCATCGATTCATTTCTCTCTTTTCTGATTCTCGATTTATATGTTCATACTATCTCGTGGTCACCGGGTGTCTTCCAACTATCTTTCCGATTTATTAACTTTTTAACCAATCATATGATCTTCGATTTTCTCTCTTCTGTTTTTCGATCCTTGTATCGATTTTTCACTAACACGACCTGTTATTAATATACACAAAAGTTATTAATCAAACGACCTTTTGCTTTTAACTTAAAGTTCATAATGTATTTTTCAATAATAGCGAGATGAATAATGTGATTTTCAGAAATTACTATACCTAATATTATTGGGTTCCAAATTTCGATATTTAAGTACTTTTTTTTCTTTACCATTCTTACGAATTCTTTAGTTAACAATTCTTATATTATCCACGAAACACAAAAATTCTTTAAAATGTCATTTTTTGGAGCCAAAAAAATAGCCAATGAGATTTTTTTAAGTAAAGAAGAATTTGATAATAATAATAATAATAATGTCACATTCGATTTTTTTTATAAAAGAGAAAAATATGAATTCATCTGTTAAAGTAAACTAAACTTCTTTTAAAAATTTGATATTTTAATATTTAAATTTACTTTATTAAAATATAAATCAATGATTACTATTTGATTATATATATCTACAAATATCGAAATAAACTAAAATTTTGTGTACATAATTTTAACTATGATATCACTTGATTTAATATTTGAGCCGATAGAATGTAAGCGTTGCAAAAAAGTGCTGAAGGTGACATTTTTCCATATTTGACACCAAATAATAAAATTTTCGAGGAAAAAGAAACGAAGGATTGGTTTCACATAAACATTTTCAAAATAAATAATAAAATTAAGAAAAACTTATTTTTTTAAATGTTTTATTTATTTTACAAATGTTAAATAACTCTCTTGAATAAAAAAAAAACAATTAAGATTGACTCTTCAAACACGTAATAAGAAAATCACATCTATTTTCTCATCAACTTCATTTGACACAATTTTTTTATTATTCAAGTTGTTTCTTTGACCGTCCACAAGTGGCAGTTGATGCATTTGTGAGTTTTAATGAGAGTGTAAGTTGTAACCTTATTCTTCGGTGAAATTAATGATATTGTGATTTTGTGAGTGATCTCTTTATATGTTCAAGTATATTTAATGTAATTTAGGAAACATTTAAAATTGATTTAAAATGCTAGTGAGTTGTGGTGAAATATCTGTCAAATTAAAGTTTTATAAGATGTTTATTCATGAACCAAGAATAATGATATATTAAAAATGAAAAATTGTTTTCAGCTTGAAACATATTATTTTTATTTATAATTATTATTATAAATATTGGTTGAACATTAACCTTTGCATGTGGAATGTTGTAATATGAGTGGAGTCGTTTGCACTTAAACAATATGCAGTGAATTCTTTAAAAAAGAGAGGGAGAGAGAGAAAAAATAAAATTTTGATCTTTCTTAAAATATGAATTTACTATTACGACACGTTTAAGGAGAAAATCATCTACAATAAGTAATTATATTGTTACATATAAAACTAATTATAGGGTCATTTTTTATTTGATTTATCTAAATCGAAATTTTAATATATCATTCTAGTAATTAATAGAACTTAATTTCATTCATGTACTGTTAATGCCTACAGTTAAGCCTCTCAAAATCACTCATTCAAATTAATGGTTGAAAAATTGAATTGATTTTCAAAATAACGCAAGCTTTGGTTTTTAACCATCTTAACTATATTGGAAAATTTGATGATATTTTTTTTAATTTCCGTATTTATCTTTTTCCTAATTCACGAGAAATAATAAACTTCATAGAAAATATCGAGATCGTTGCTTATTTGTTTGAGTTAATTTTCTTTGATAAAATTCGAATTATCTTTTAAATATAATCTTATTGTTTTGTCGGATTTAAATTTTTAACCTACATTAATTTAGTTTCAAAATATTCAGTAAATTTTACGAGTCATATTCTATTAACACAACCAATTTCACTTATTTTGGTTTATCAAATTATTTGTTTCTAAAACAATGTATAGCTCTTCATAAAATTATTCATTATATAAATTATTAAGAAAATATTTTCTTTAATAAAATAATCTTATCAAGTTGGTCAAACTATAATTTTATTTTTATTTAAATCTTTACATAAAGTTTTAATTTAAATGTGTTCATAAAATATTAATCAAGCAGTAAGTATATTTATTGAAACTAATTAATTATTTCTCTAATAATAATAATAATAATAAATTTAAGATATACTTAAATGCATAAAGTGGCGTATAAAAAGATAAAATAATATTAAGACTCATTTAAATTACCATATGAAACAAATATGCTACCTCCCCTAAAATAATTTATACATAAATACATTAAATTGAACTCAAAACATATTTTAAACTATAAGTATATCACATTTTTATATCATATATTTATTCTACATTATATTATAATAAACATAACAAAGCGCCTGTGAGAGTAATAATAATATATAAGTATAAATTATATAAAGAAAAAAAAAACAAAAAAAAACAAGAGGCCTTGATCAAAATAAAAAAATAAAATAAAATAAGAGGCACATTCTTCTGGAAGTTCCCGGTTCGGGTTAAATCGTTTATACTGAGAATCTAATGAGTGACGCAACGGCTCTTAATCCGTAGCCCGTTCTGTCCCACCTATTAGCGCCAACTACTCCTCCTTTATCGTAATGTGCATTCCAGCTCAGCAAGTCACATTAGATCACCGCCGCTAAATTGTTTTCCCGTGTCACCAAATTAAGTGGCCAAATCAATCGGTTTCACCGAAGTTTTAAAATCCTGTTTGCAGCTGAACAAAACTCCTCTAACTACCGAACATACCCCTCTAACGTTCGCATTAACCGTCGTCTTTATTGAATCAGCCAAAGGTCATTATCGTCGCAGCAGAAGCGTCTTCAGAAATACTATCGTTTTCTTAAATCCCATTTAGTTTTCATTTATTAGTATTTATTTATATATTTTCTCTCTCTTCTTCCTCTTCTTTCACTGCAACACACTGCATGTTATTCTCCATTGAAGGTTTCGGCAATGGCGAATCTCGCTTTGTGAACTTCCACAGCGAGTAGCTTACTGAGACGCACTACCGAGGTCTTCCAACATGTTGGACGGAATACTTGGCAGAGGCTTCACCGCGAAATGGTTATTGCTGCGTGCTTTGTTTTTGTTGATTGTTTTTGTTTGATGAAGAAAGTTGGAGAGAAATGAGAGTGCGGTTATGTTTCTGATTACAATAAACGTGTTTTCTTCTTCTTGTTTTCAGCAAATCTTTGATCAAATTGACGAAGAGTCGGATCGATGTGATACGGAGGAAGAGAAGAGCGACAGAGAAGTTTCTGAAGAAGGATATTGCTGATCTATTGCTCAACGGTCTCGATATTAATGCCTACGGAAGGGTAATTGATTTTCTTCCTTTGCGTGTGTTTTTGTTTTGTGCAGATTCTGGATTCTGCTACATTATGTTATTGAGGATGCTAATTTCCATCTGAGTGATGGATGACAGTAGAATTTTAAAGGTGTGAACGATTGCTTTGTTAGTTTGATGAACTCGTTTTCAATTAAGTTTTGTCTTGTTGCGAGGTGTTTAAACAGGCTGAAGGACTCGTGGTTGAGTTAACACTCTCCTCTTGCTATGGTTTTGTTGAGCAATGCTGTGAATTTGTGTTGAAGCATCTACCAGCGATGCAGAAGTTGAGGTATTGTTAGTTTGTTTGTCTGTTTTAAACTTCTGCTTTCGTTTCATATCGTCTCTATTTCTTTTTTTCATTTGAACTTGTAATTATGATTAATTGTTTTGGCTATAACAAGTTTAATGTGAATTTCGGCCACTGGATGGGGATTATGATGCACGAAACATGGTAAATTTTAGAAGTAAAAAATAAATAAAAAGTATGGCTACATTACTTTAATTCGGAAATAATATGAATGAATGAAGAATATAAAATATATGTAGATTATGGTAAAATTATTTGTATCAAAGTCGTATAAAATATCTCATATCTCACCAGTGGCAAGAAAAGGATGAATGAGTTTTGATTAAATGAAGAAATGAATGGGAAATTTTGAGACAGACAAAAAAATTGCTCAATTTAGTTTTTCTTTTAAAAAAAAAAACTGTCATTTTACGCTGGGAATTGTAACGTACATATCATGATTACTTAGTTTGATTAAAGTCATACTCAAGCCGCCTATATATATATATATATATATATGCTTCTGTGGAGATGAGGATTATGAGTGAGTTGGTAGTCGTGTTTTTCTTCTGATATTGTCATTCCTCGACTTTTCTCGCCTCGCGTAAAAAATCTCAGTTGTAGAAGTTGTAGAAATTGCATCATTTTAGAGGTAAAGATTTTCTAATTTCTATCTATTATGCTGCCGTGATTCCTGAAAATGTTCACCAACTCTCCTGACTACACCTTAGACGAGTGTGCATCTACAGGTTTACATGCGTGTAGTTGTTCTGCGTGTGGTTGAACATAGTTTTGGCCTTTGCGAGTGCAATTTTTTCTTGTTTAGGTATAGATACGGTTTTCACAATCAAATAAGTAACTTTAGGTAGTGTGTTTTTGGTGAGATGAACTGGTAAATGACGCATTGAGTTTATGACCTAGAAGGGGGTGGAGTTGTGTTTATTTCTGCTGACTAATATAATATGGTTTGGTTGGACAGCTGTAACTGTCCAAATGTCCCAAAATTGTTATGGTTGGATGGATAGTCGTTGCATATTTTTCCTCAAATTCAGAAGTTGAATGAATTAATACATAAATGCTTCCATTTATATTTCAGTGGTTGCCCTGAGGAATGTAGGATGGCTGTATCGTCTCTGATGTTTGGTGCTGCAAGATTTTCTGATTTACCAGAATTACGTGATCTTAGACAAATATTTCAGGAGAGATATGGGAATTCCATGGAGTGTTATGTCAATCAAGAGGTGATTTTTCATTTATATTAGAACTATACATATTGATGACTTTTCCTGTATTTACTAAATTTCAAATGATCAGTTTGCTGCAAATTTGAATTTCAAATCATCGACATTGGAGAACAAGGTCTGCTTGATGCAGGAGATAGCATCAGAGTTTTCAATAAACTGGGACTCCAATGCTTTCAAACTGAGGATGTCGAGATCCTCTGCAGTGGTACAGGTGCCGTCTTTTGCATATTCACGTTGTCATAATTGAATACTCAGATAAATTCTTACTTTGTTTCAAATTTTGAGAATGTATGTGAAAATTGTTAATATTTTCTGACAGGGCCACAATGCTTGCATGTCTAACGATGATAAACCATCAGATGGCAAGGATTTTACCCAAAAGGAAGTAAGGAATGATGTTTTGTTAGAGAAAAATCATGATCTTGCCAATGATGGGTGGAGATTTCAGAATGGCAAGGAAGCAGTTGTCTTAAACAGACATGAACGTGATCTTCCGTCTAGATCCACACTCCCTGGAATTGTTCGGGAAGTTCTTCAAAAAAGGGATGGCCATGATAATCCACGAAGACATGAGGTTACAGTTGAGAAGAGCGACAGAGGCTTTTGGAAGGATGGTAGCATGCTAAAACCGATTGGACATCCATCTCCGTATAAAACTGAGGAGCAATTCGAAGGTGGTTCCAAGCTGTATAATAGTAGGGGGAATACCACCCCTCCAAGAGAAAACCAGGTTAGTATGCTAAAGCCGACTGGACATCCATCTCAGAAGAAAAAAGTTGAACAATTTGACGATGGTTCCAAGCTGCATTGTAGTAGGGGGAATACCACCCCTCCAAGAGAAAACCTGGGCAGTATGCTAATACCGATTGGCCATCCATCTCAGCAGAAAACAGTGGAACAATTTGAGGATGGTTCGAAGCTACGTAATGGGCGGGGGAGTATCACCCCTCGCAGGGAAAACCAGGGCAATTTGCTAAAACCGATTGGGCATTCATCTCAGGAGAAAACAGTGGAACAATTTGAAGGTGGTTCCAAGTTTCCCAATAGTTGGGGGAATACCACCCCTTTAAGAGAAAACCAAGATAGTGCGATAAAACCAATCGAACGTTCATCTCGGAAGAAAACAGTGGAAAAGTTTGAAGGTGATTCCAAGCTGCAAGATACTTGGGGTAATACCACCGCTCTAAGAGAAAACCAGGACAGTGCAACTGCTAGGAAGTCTCCTAGTCAGGCCGGATCACATTTCAAGAGTAATGCAAAAGAGCCATTTTCTATTAATCATGTTGCCCTTCCTGCTACTGATAAATCAGAGAGAAAAATTCAAAGGAATGAAACACCTACACTGAAGCCCTGCTACAATAATGTCATTCCACCTCCATATGTTAAACAACCTAATTCTAAGCAGCAGAATAGCACACGTGGAACCAATATAATATCTTCACTTACCGACAGTGGTGGTCTCTCTACATATCATTCAGCACATGAGAAGCCCGATACTGTATCTGTGCCGGCGAGGATTCAAATAGGTTGGGTTAGTTCTGACCAGGATTGGCAGGGCAATAGACACGAGAGACTGAGCAAACAGAGTCGTGAAAAAGAAATCTCATTTCGAGAAAATGCCGAAGTCCCTGTGGTAAAATCAAGATCTATGAGGCGAAGGCACTCAAGATCACGACCACCAAGTTACTACGATGCCTCTAATGAAGCCTCTGGACTTCAAAGAAAATCGAGGAGCAGAAGCAGGAGACGAGATGAATCAAGACGAGGTCCGCAAGCTATGTTTGATGATGAGCGGTATCAAAATGCTGAAGAGGAAAGGATAATAGATAAATTGCTGATCCATTATAGCAAAAAGCCATCCGTCCTTGTGCCTGAAAAATTAAAAAGAAACTCTAAAATTCACCATGCACATCAAATGGATGACTCAACCAAGGAATTGCAGATGCAGAATAGAAGCGGAGATGGATTTGATGAGACACCAGGGATGGTTAGTCATGCATCACGATCATTTTCCCTTCCGCGTGAACAACAAAGAAAAGTGGAAGTTAAGAAAGTATTTAATCGTGCTGCTACATTTGAGCCAGTTAGGTCACAGGAAGCTCGACATGTGCATCCTAAGTTACCAGACTATGATGATCTAGCAGCTAGGATTGCGGCTCTAAGAGGATGATAAAGGGTTAAAGGATAATGCTCCTCTTTTATCAGCTTGACTATTCGTTACGATCATCGCGCTTTATAATGTGCACAATGTTTGCCTGGAATTATAGAAGATTGCATTGTGATGCTTTTATTGCAAAATGTTGCCTAATTAGGAATTGTGATAAATCGTCATGCATGGTCCCGTCTGTGTACCAATAGTGACTCTGCCATCGTCTTACAGATGCAAGTATAGATTATACGCAACATCAATTCAAGTTTTCTCTCCTATGATTCCAGAAGTGTTTGTAACCAAAAATTAAGGTGTTCCTACTTTCTTCGGGTCTAGTACAGGGAATAAAAGATGTCACAGACACTATTTGTTTTTTGTTTTTTTTTTCTGATAATGTTGTTTACACATTTATTCATACATTATTTTATATTATATAACATTATTGCTTAATTTTTTCAATTCTGTAACTTCGGATGAATATAAAGTGATTTTCTCACACTTTAACGCCTGAATGTGGCACGTGGTTAAAGTTACGCAAAAAGGTCATTTTTAATGTGTCACTTCCAATTTTTAGGAACAACTCAGAAAGAGGAAAGCGGTGAAGTCAACGAATCGAGCAAGAAGAATGCATATGTAAAACTTTTATTAGTTTTAGGGTGCGAGCATATGGCAGTAAAATAACAAATTGACTGCTCTGATCTGGAATGTCAAAACACAAAGTTCAGACTGGTTCAGAACCAAAGCCTTTGTCTTCCCTAGGACCATTTCTCTTTTTACTATTGCATCCATCCCTAAGCCTCCTATCTGAGGGCAAGGACTGTTTCCCGCCAAAACGAATTTGTTCTTATCTACCCCTATATTACTGTGCCACTTCTACCGCCACATTCTACGCAGGAAGAGACACAGATAGAGATAGTGTGTGTGCGTGAGTGTGAGAGAGAGGTCTAACTCCAAAGAGATGAACGGAACATCCAAAGTGATTATGGGTGCAACCTTGGTAATGGTGGTAACCCTTGCAGGGGTCATTGTCCTTATATTTGTGCTGTTAGCTGAGCTCTATTGTTCTCTCTTACTCCGCCGGCGCCACCGCAGAAACAGCAACTCCAACAATATTATTCCCAATGCCAGCATTCAACCCTCCACAACCAGAGCCAATGCTTCACCTTCTCACACAACCTCACACCCCCAACAACAGTCTCCTCCATTCCGCAGCATTTATGCACAAGGAGTCCTCCAAGCTCCAAGAAGCATCCTCCTCCCCGCAGTTTCTTGCAAAGAAGACAAAGCTGGACCAAGGAAGCAGGATATCTATTCTGAACTCCATCAGGTTGTTCAAATCCAAATTCAACCCCATGAATCCAATTCAAGTGCAAGCCCTTCCCCACCTCCATCCTTCATATCCATAGCACCCTCAAAACCAAATCACCAACACCCACCACTTCCGGGTATTACCATGGAAAATCTTTGTCATGATGATAAACCTTGCAGTGGAGGGGAACACCTTGTGTACATTTCCAACCCCATTTATGAAAACGACGAGAGCCAAAGGAGTGGAGCAAATACCCCATTTGAGACACCAGACACTTCGCCTTCACGTTTGGAAAAAGGTGGTTCTTCCGAGGAGGATGAGGCAACCCCTTGTGTCACTCACTCACCTCCCTATACCCCTCCTTTAACTCCAATGAAGAAGCTTCCCTCAGAGGCTTGTTCCGTTTCTCTAAGAGACGCAAGGTCCTTGGCCACTTCATGCAGCGATTCACGTAGCAACAATGGACTCTCTTCATCCTCCGGTTCCCCTTGCACTTCTCCTTCATGGTAACTGTGATTCTTCTTCCTTGGTGAGGTCAGATTGCCCGCGTGAAAAGCTTCTGCTGTTATTGGTTTGTTTTGTTAAGAGGTTAGTTTTGTGAATAAAGTAACAGTGGTGAGAGTGACTGGTAAGAACAAAAAAGTAGTTGTAGCAGCATGTGAAAAGAAGCTATGAGTAGTTTCTTTTTTGCAGGCATTGTTATCATAGCGCCTGTTGTTGTAAGTAGTAACACTGATGGCCACTCAACTTCATTATTAGTTATTTTTGTTTATCTAGGCTTTCTGGTAGCTAGTTATGTTAGGGGCATGCACGGTCTTTGTTTCCATTGGTATGGTCCTCACTGTTTGCTTTTTCTTGGAAACTTGTTGCATTTCCCAGTGGGAAAATTTTATATTTTTGCCCTAGTTATTTAATTTGTTGTCGCAAGAGGTGAAATGAAAACTTCTCTATTTCGATTTTCGATGGCCCCTAGTTGTGATTCCGACGCATGATATAATAATATATTGAAGGGTAAATCCACGAAGAAGCTGTCACCTGCTGCAACTGCATTCTGCGAGCACACAGTCTTTAGCTTTTTGTCCATTTCGATAAAGACGAGAACATCGTTCTGCAGCAATGCAACTCCATTAGGCAAATAACTTCAGTTTTCGCCCTGATTTTTGTTAAGCAGTTTTCTGTGGTTGAGAGATAATGAAAGATACTCATTCGATTTAATGGGGAAATTGAGAGCATGTGGACTGCAGTAATGGATGTTCACGGCATAAAGAAACGACAATGGTTTACTGACGAAAAAATACTACTTAGACATCTCAATAAATATATCTTTTTTTACTATAGAAGGTTAGATCTATTGATACTTTAAATAAATTATACTATGTCATATTTTTTTTATATTTTTTTTTCAAGTTTTATTTCAATGATAAATCTGATAAAACTCTTTTTTAAGTTGTCTTAAATTTAATACCTTTATCATATTATATTTCCATGATTTAGTGAAGACTTTTAATAAAATTTAGGCCTTAAATTTAAGATTAAAATTTTTATATAAGATTAATGAAGAAAAATTAGAAGAAATGAAACGTAAAGTTTTCGTTTGGCTATACCAAAAAAAAAACAGAGTAAATGTAAAGTAAATGTAAATTTGTAACAAATATTATTATATAAGAAAAAAATTAGACATAAAAAATTAAAATATTAATAACAAAGAAGAGGAAGTTTTGGGTGAGATCCGAAAGGATTTAAGAATTCGCTGGATTTAGTTTTTAAGAATGTTAACTGTCATGAAAATTTTCTTTAATATTTTTATCCACCGTTTGTCTCCTTTATCTAGCATTTAAATCAAACATAACTCGAAGGTAATAAAAGGTATTTCTTGTGTTGTAGATAGGGATGGCAATCAAACCCGTCCCCGTGGGGATCGACCCGTCCCCGCCCGAAGTTGACGGGAAAAACCGAGTTGACCGGGTTCGGGTTCGGGTTCGGGTTTTCCCGCTTTAAGAATCGGGTTCGGGGTGGGGATGGGTAATGCAATCCCCACCCCGTCCCCGTCCCCGTCCCGACTTTATATTTAAACCTAAATTCTAAAATATTAACTATTTGTCTGTTTGTCTTCTTTTCTTTTTTTAATGTTAATTATATTTAAATTTAAATCCAGATATATAACTCTCTGTCTTTTCACATTACCCTTAGTCTTTTCACATTACCCTTAATCTTTTCACATTATTTATTACTCTTAGTCTTTTCACATTACCCTTTTTGTTTTCTTATAATACCCTTTATCTTCTCATTACGTAGTGTGTTCCTTTCCTTCACTTTACTTCCATTTATTCTGAATTTCTTTGCCTTTTTGAATCTCTTCACAACTAGTCTTAGTTCAACTCACATTTGGCTTCTCCTATCTCTTTAACTAGTTTGAGTTCTCTGATCAACTTCTCCAGTATTATCAACCAGTTTATCGAACACATAAGGTAATTTTTTGTTTATTTATCTTTTTCTAAATATGTACATCAATGTATCATTTTATTTCTAATTTGGTTTTATTAGGTTTTTGTTATATCATGTTTTCTGGGTTTACTATTCTTATTTATCATATATCATATCTTATGTTAATTAACTAATTATATTTTTTTATCTTTTATGATCAATTTAAGTCTTATTTTAGAAGAAATAAACAGAAGATTTTTTATCTTTAGGCAATCAATAATACATGTCTTGTTTATGGTGGTAGGGATTTTTTTATATACAATGGAAAATAATGAAACAACACAAGCAAGTATGCATGAATCATTGTTAAAAGAAAATTCTAACCTTGAGGGTCCTACTCCTACACCAAATGAAGTCCCACCAGTAACTAGAGATAATGAGCATGATGAGACTATATCATTGGGATCAAATCGGCTTAAAAGTAAGATTTGGCAACATTTTCGAAAGATTCAAGTTAATGGAGAGGACAAGGCTCAGTGCAATTATTGTAAGAAACTTTTGGGAGGAAAATCAAAAAATGGAACGAAACACCTATGGCAACACAATGATAATTGTATTCAATTCAAGATTTCTACTAGAGGGAACAAAGGGCAAATATTTCTTACCCCTAAAGTTATGCAAGGTAAACAAGAGTTGGGTACAGGAATTTATGATGCAGAACATGTAAGAAAAGAACTTGCACATGCAATTATTATGCATGAATATCCACTTTCAATTGTAGATCATATTGGTTTCAAGAGATACTCATATGCTCTCCAACCAGTTTTTCAAGTTCCTTCTAGAAATACTATTAAAAGGAAATATTCAAAGTTTACAACTACGAGAAATCAATAATTTTGAAGTCATTGGATAGCCTTGAAGGAAGAGTGGCTATAACATCGAGACATGTGGACTTCGGGTAATCAACAAAGAGGATATATGGTCATCACTTGCTCATTATATTGATGATTCTTGGAACTTACAGAGTCACATTTTAAGATAACAAATCACTTTCTTAGTCATATTTTATATTATTTTTATTTTATTTTCGTATGGTAAAATGATTGAATATTGATTAAATTTATGTGAATATTATTATTTTAGGTTCATTTATGTTCCAGACTCCTCACACAAGTGATAGACTTTGCAATGCATTAGTTGAATGTTTGATGGATTGGAATATTGATACAAAATTATCCACTATCACTCTTGATAATTGTACTACAAATGATGCTATGGTTGAAAAAATTAAGGGTAAATTGCAAATTAACACTTTATTGAGAGATGGAGATTTACTTCACATGCGTTGTTGTGCTCATATATTAAATTTGATAGTCAAAGATGGGCTAGAGGTAGTGAAAGATGAGATTGAAAAAATTCGGGGTAGTGTAGTATATTGGACTGCAACACCTAAGAGGAAAGAAAAGTTTGAAGAAACAGCAAAGCAATTGCGCATCTCTTGTACTAGGAGCTTGATTTTAGATTGTCCAACAAGATGGAATTCAACATACAAAATGCTTGAAATTGCCATAATATATGAAGATGTGTTTAATCGATTGAAGCAACGAGATTCTCAGTATACTTGTTTGCCAACTAGTTTACAATGGCAATTTGCAAAAGATATTTGTGAAAGGTTGAAATTGTTCAATTTTATAACAGAATTATTTTCTGCTACTAAACATCCAACTGCTAATTTGTATTTTCCCAATATATGTGAGATTAAATTGACATTGACTGAGTGGATTACATCTCCAAATGAAGTGATTAAAAAAATGTCTGAGAACATGTTGTTCAAATTTGATAAGTATTGGAATGTGATTCATGCTATTATGGGAGTCGCTACTGTTTTGGATCCTAGATACAAGATGAAGTTACTTGAATATTATTATGAAAAGTTGTATGGTCATGAATACTTTTTGCAAGTTAGGATGATTCGTCAATTATGTTATGACTTGATTTCTGAGTATCAAACAAAAATGAATAAAGACACATGTGGCGAGTCTCCAACAAGGGATGGTACTAATGTTGCTGGTGATGCATTAACTGAGTATGACAGGTATATTTTGAGAAAAAAAAGGGCAAGAAATACATATGTTAAAACAGAGTTAGACCATTATTTAGAAGAAGAGGTTTTACCAAGAAAAACTGATTTTGATATTCTAATGTGGTGGAAGTTGAATGGAGTCAAATACCCAACAATTCAAGCAATTGCTAAAGATGTATTAGCTATCCCTATCTCCACGAGTAGCTTCGAATCTGCATTTAGTATTAGTGGTCAAATATTAAGCCCCCATCGCAGTAGACTTCATTGGACTACTCTAGAGGCTTTGATGTGTGCTAGGAGTTGGTTATGGAGTGCTTGAAAACAACTGGTAATGTTTTATATACCTTTTTAAATATATATTTAATGATTGTATTTTTAGATTTTAACAAGTATTCTCTTTATATTTTATCTTTAGGTGATGTGAATTCTCAACTAATTGATGACTATGCTATTTTACTTAATGAGATGGATTCAGGTGATGAAGGTATTATTTTATTTATTAAAAAATATTATTATTTATTTTTTAATATTTTATTTCTCTTTTCAATAATATATTTTATTTTAAATTATGTAGGTGAATTGATGGACAGATGGCATTGTTGCTCATTTGGAGGATGATCATTAAATTATCCAATATTTGTTATTTTTCTTATATGTATTGTTATGCACGGTTATGCATTATTATGCAGTTTTCTTATATTATTTTCCATGAGAAACTTTGTTTACTTATTTATTAGTATTTTTAGATGTATTTCATAATTATTTTAAAAGGATCATTAGTTGAAACTTATTTTTATTATATATTGTTTACAAGGATTAATAATTTTAAAGGATTAACAACTTATAATAAGAAGAAAAAAAGAATGATCAAATATATTTTTTATGCATAAATATTTTAATATAAACGTAATAAATTAAAATATACACTCAATCAATAATAATATTCTAAAAATTATAATATTATATTTATTTGTTATAAAAAATAAAATATAAAAAATAATAATTTTAAATTATTTTATTATAATTTATATATAATTACTTTTAAAATAATACCATAGAATGGGGACGGGGCGGGCGGGAAACCCGAAACCCAACGGGGACGGGGATGGGGAGTTAAATTTTAACCTCGGCGGGGATCGGGGCGGGGACGGGGACGATTAAAAATATCGGGGCGGGGGTCGGGAGGCAAAACCCGCCCCGCTCCGCCCGTTGCCATGCCTAGTTGTAGAGAATTTTGATAAAAAAAAATACTTTTTAAGAAGGAAATTATATCCAACAGATTTATCTCCTGCGATTGCTTTTATACGAGGTCATTGTGATTCAATAAAATATTAAATTACAATTACCCCCTATTTGACTCCATAGAAATTGAATAAAAAATGAGTTACATAATTTTGATTGATAATAAGCCAATTATGGAATTCAATTGATAATAAGTCATACTTATCATGGTTGCAAATCAAATTTTCTCTTTATCTTACCTTTTCTTGCAAATTAACTCCAAAGACATGAAGAAACTTAAAAATGATTCAAGCTAAAGTAAAAATTTTAAGGACTACTTTGTGTGCCAAAATTTGAAGACGCAAAATTGATAGCGTTTTGAATTTGATATTATAAGTAGATAAATTACTTAAATTAAATAACTTGAGATGCAATGACGTTCTATAACAAAAACAAAACGAATACAGAGAAGCTAGATTTTCACATGGTTTAGAAAGGAATAATTTAGGTTCGCTTAATTTATTTGTTAAATGCTTAGTTAGGTTAAAAAATAATTTAAAAACAATGACATTGAAGGTGACAGAGTAAAAGTTATGAACTCAAGCAAAACAAAACATGATTTCACATTTGAAAAGCAACTGTAAATCATCTAAAAGTACTTCTGCTGCTGAATAATGAAAGGGAGGCACCATCATTTTTCTAAGATATAATATTCCATGCCAAAATAAATGAGAGTAAATTTTTGGCTACAACAAACGTTACCAACTTGTGGGTATAATAATGTCTTTACAGAAACCAGTAATAATCGTGAGCAATAAACAGAAATGAACAAACAAAAAGAAAGAACAACTTTGGGCGTGAGATCTTACAAATTACAATGTACAATGAACATGTCTTTTGTTCTTGTTTGAGCAATTACTTAGACATCAACAATGGACACAGATTATGGATGCACCCGCAGAACTCATGAGAGTATACGAATTTGAATGATATGATCCCGCAGTGTAGTGAACTATATTTGAGTATTTTAGACATGACATTATATAAGTATATATAACAATACATCCCAGAGAAAAAGATTTATGAACATTCCATTAAGCACAACAAAAGTATCTTCTTCTAGTTTCTCTAGGTCTGGTATGCAGCTTGATTCCACTTTGACGTGAAGGGTTAGCTTTTGCCAATCTCTTAGCTGCAAAATGTTTGTTTAATTTCTGGGTAAGGAATCTTAATACAAGCGTTAATTGTGTGTTACCACATTCAATTGGTTAATAATTCATAGAAGATTGTGAACTAAAGAATTGCTTGTTACTTAATGTTATTGGTATTGTTTAACAGAACACTAAGGCAGATTCAGCTAAATTTGATCCACAGAATAGGCAATGCAAGTACTCTTGGATCATCTTTCGTAGGCCAAAATACTTTAGGGTGAATGGTAAATTATTTACCTATTTCATAGAAGAGTTCGTTCACATTTTGTGCCGTTTTTGCTGAAGTTTCAAGAAAAGACAAGCCATTTTCTTTGGCATATTCCTCACCCTCCTGCCACCATCAACACAAACTACGTTACATGAAATATGAGTAACAAATTCTTTATCTTTCTGTAGTGGGGAGGATGAACTAGTTTACGTTCCTTGGTGATAAGTAAATCAGAAAATCAAGAGAATATATAATTCACTAGAAATACCTCATTGCTGACTTTTCTGTCATCCTCCAGATCAGCTTTGTTAGCCACCAAAAACATTGTCAAACTTGAATTTGCTGACGTGAATTGTCAAACGAGTATTATGTCATGAACTTGTGATGAACTTTCACAGAATGATAAATAGAAGTCAATTTAACTTATGTTTACACTACTTTGTTAATTAATGGATTGCATGGTTGTGACTAGAACTAGTAACTACAATAATATCTCAAATCATTGTAAAATCGATGACTTGAAAAATCAGAACAAACGTAGTTTCCTAATTTTCAGAAGTAGAAAGACCAATTGTTTACATTTTGACATTTACCCACCTTGTCTTTGCACTTCTTGAACCCACTTCTTTGCTCGTACAAAAGAATCCTGAGCCCGAATATGCATTATTAATTAGTCAGATATGTTCATATCTAAAAACAAAACACATACTGATTCTTTTAAAGGATAAATACATTAGACTAATCATGAATTATAGTTATAATGATAGACTTGTATTTATAGTTCAGACTATAGAAAATTTCAAGTGCCAAATTGATTTTAGTTACCATGCTTGTAATGTCATACACAACAATGGCTGCTGCAGCACCTCGATAGTACATGGGAGCCAAACTGTGGTATCGTTCTTGCCCTGCTGTGTCCCATATATCAAATTTTACAGTGGCTTCATTTAAGGACAAGACCTGAGTGAAGAATGCTGCTCCAATTGTTGATTCCTGCACACTTATATTAATGCTAACCCACTACTAATCTATGGTAATGATAACAATGTTGTGAAGAGGCACAAGAGGACTAAAATAATAGTACTAACCTGGTACTCGGAAAATTGACCTTTGACAAATCTAAGAACCAAACTTGTCTTTCCTGTTCCCATGTCTCCAAGAAGTACCTGGAAAATCACAGATGGTGTTAACAATTTTGGAATACTTTCTTCTGCTAATTATGCATGTCCTTTGATCATTGGAAAATAAAACCCCGAAGAGAATATTATTATCTACATGTATGTTATATATATGTAACTTGCTCCTCAGAAGAAAGTGGCAAAGCAAGTAGATCATTTTCAATGATCAAACAAACAACACAATCAGATATAGTTGCTAAGAATCCAACACAGATTTGACGTACGAAATAGGTTGAATTTATTACTACTACAAGAACCCACTAGGATTGGCATAGTTTTGTGAGACTTGAATGATATGCATCATGTCATAGATCCTAATCTCAATGTGACAAAAGAAATTATTAACACAAGTTATTTGCTTCTCCTATCTTAAAGTGATTAACAAGTTGTTCTGGTTTAGAACCTCATATGTCAAACAAGTTGATAAATCAAATCAAATAAAAAGAAAAAGGGGGATATGGGGGTGGGCAAGACATACCTACCAGTTTTGCTTGTAAACTCTTGTTTCCTGTCCTGGCCATAGCTTAGATGATCTATATGAGAAAAAAAGGGAGAAAATTTCTCTAATATATGGCAGAGGTTTTCCAAAGAATGCAAAGAGAAACCAAAAGAAGGCAAATATATGTTAATAGTGAGAAATGGAAGAGCTTGAAGGCTGAAAATCAATAATGGTGTGAGGATGACACTGTACAAGACTGGTAGTTTCTCAGTTGGACTGGTAAGTGAGTTCATATGTATACAACTTTTTCTTTCAAATTATCCCACCACTTGTATTTTAAATTTTCCTAAGCTCCATTAGTTTGCTTTTAAGTTTAATCCAATTTATATCTACTTAAGCCTTCATCATTATAAATTAGCAATACTGTATTTAATATTCTTGTCCCTTTTTTTACAAAGACTTTTCTCAGTACAAATTAGGGAGGTAATGACAAAATGGACAAAATTGATCCAAAAATAATTGAATACAATGACTGAATTAAATTTAGGAGTGTTTTGGAAAAGAAAAAATGTTGAAGAATGAAAAATAACCATAAAAAACTATGGAAAAATCTTTAATTTTTACTCATGAAAAAAGTTCTTGATTATGTTTGGATTGGTGATAGAAATGAAATGTAATAGATTAGAGTGTAATCAGCAAACTGGATTGGATTCAAAACTGTTTGGATGATTGATTAAAATAAAAACAATTAAAGGATTTTATAGAATATAATTCAAATATTATAATACTATTTGGTTTATATTTTATTGATAGAAACTTAACTTGAGATTTTATTAAAATAATTCAGATACCTTGTTCAACTATTTCAATTAGATTTTTCACGCTTGTTTGATTAATCATTTCAATTGAATAGTGGATTATTCTTGCAATAACTTGCTCGATTTGATCACAAGCTACAGTTGAATCACGTGTGGTTTTTTATGCATTGATGTTAAAATTATATAAGCACTTATTAAATTTATTTTTTATTGTTATTTGTTAAAACTTATAGTATAATTAATTTGTTTAAATATTTTTCAAATTTTATTTTATTTCTTCTCTCTATTTTTTAAATATATTTTTTTCATGTATTTATTATTTTTAAATATAAATCATAATAATTTTTAAAAAAATTATAATATTTTTCTTTGCTCTTTACAACGATCCTAAAAAACACTTATCATAGAAAATTATAGTTATAGAAATTATAGATTCTTAGAATTGAATTTAAAGTGTACATTATAAATTGACTGTTTTCAATCATTTTAAATTTTATTAGATGTTGTAAATCTCTTTGAATCAAATTTATGGACCAGGCCCTACATGTCCATAAGGCTACCCAATGTTCTAAATTCACATACATGTTTGTTGGATAAACTTTACAAAAATATTTATAGAAGATAAAAGAATAAGAAAAATAAATAAGTAACCTTCTCCATAAATTCAAATTAATATATATATATATATATATATATATATATATATATATATTATTTTTATTTTATTTTATTTTAAATTATTTGCTAAAAGTTCTTTTAGAAAAACTTTTCCCAGATAATATCCCCTGATACATGCGTATTCACATTGATACATTGGTTTTTATTCATATTTAAAGTTACATTGAGAAACGAAAAGAAAAAACTAAAATGTTTCATTCTTATTCTATAATACTGTTATCTAAGTGTTTAAGCTTAAAATAATAAAAAAATTAAATAGCTTTAAAAAAAAAATTGCGTTTGTATTGACCATAAAAAATTATACCATTTATGTGTGATTGACTATACATGTAATATAAATTATTAATTTTCTATGAAATTAATAATTAATATTACATTTATTTCAAAGATAAACATTTATAATATGATTTATACTTTCGTTAAATATATATTTTTGTTCAGATTGTGATAGACTATCGTAATTAATATATTAAAACATGTAATTTAAAATACTTTGTATAAATTTTGATAATGGATATTTAAAATATTTTTTCTCAAAATAAATATAAGATAAAGTGTTTTTTAGAATAAATATAAAATACCTTTATTATTAAAGTTGATGGGAACATAATATATCTCTTTATTCATTGATCAACTCACTTTATAATAAATAGGAACTTAACATATATAGACTAAGTTTGTAAAGGAAAAAAAAAAAAAAAACGCATAATAGTGCAACTATTTATATAACATAATCAACTAACCATTAAGCTACCTCTAATACCTCCTCTCAAGGTGAACTATGGATATTCAGAAGACCCATTTTGGACATTAGCAATAAAAGGCGCAGGAAACAAAGTTTTGGTGAACATATCGGCAAGTTGGTGTTGAGAGGGAATATGAGATAAAAGAATTAGCTCATCGAGAATTTTGTTACATATGAAGTGACAATCCATTTCTATATGTATGGTTCTTTCATGAAAGGAAGGATTTTGGCAAGTTGGATGGCAGATTGGTTGTCACAAAAGGTATAGACTCAGAGAGGAATGATAAGTCGAAGATCATCAACAACATACTTCAACTATTATAATTCACAAGCCACAGTGGCTAATGCCCAATATTCTGCTTCTGTTGAACTCTAAGACTGTATTTTTTTTTTTTACTTCCAAGAAATGAGGGAATTTCCATAAAAAATGTAATAACCAGTTATAGACTTTCGAGTGGTATGACATGTAGCCCAATCAGAATCAAATTAGGCTTGTAATTTGTGTGGATTCTGAACAGGATAGAAAAGGCCTTGTCCAAGAGCAGTTTTTAAGTATCTAAGAATTTGAAAAGTTGTCTGCAAGTGAGGGGTTCTAGGTTGAGTGATAAACTGACTTATTTGTTAGACAGAAAAGCTAATGTCTGGACAGGTGTGTCAAGTACAACAACTTGCCAATGAGTCTTCTAAAATTGGTGGGATCAGGGATGAGTTCACACTCATTATCAACGAACTTAACTGAAGGGGTGGTTGGAGAATTCAGTGGCTTGCACCCAATAAATCCAAATTTTGAAAGAATATCCAGACAATATTTATGTTGATTAAAGATTAAGCCATGTTTGGATCGGACCACTTCAAAGCCCAAAAAACACTTCAAATCATCAAGATCCTTATATGAAATTGCGTGTGAAGATATGTTTTGATGTTAGTGATCATGCCAAGATGATTCTTAGTAATAACTATGTTATCAACATAGACTAAGAGGGTTGTGAACGAACTAGTTGTGTGCTTGACAAATAAAGAGTAATATGTTGTACTATGAATAAAACCAAAATTGAGTAGAGCAGATGTGAGTTTGACATTTCATTGCCTACTTGCTTGTCTTAACCCATATAGAGATTTGTGGAGTTTGCACACAAGTTTAGGAGAAGCTAGATGTAGTCCTTGTGGGGATTTCATGTAGACTTCTTCAACAAGATCACCATGTAAGAAGGCATTATCGACATCTAATTAATGAAGAAATCAGCCAGAGGAAACAACAAGGAAAGCAGAAACCGAACAATAGTGATCTTAACTACGGGAGAAAATGTTTCAAAAAAATTTACCCCCTCTATTTGTGTGAAGCCCTTAGCAACCAATCTAGCCTTGTATCTTTCAATGGAACCATCCACTTTAAATTTGGTTCGGTAAACCCATTTACATCCGACAACTTTCTTGCCTACAGGAAGATTAATCAGTGACCATGTGTTGTTTATCTCTAGAGCTTGAAGTTCAATCATCATAGCTTTTCGCCAACAGTCTAATTGGGTTGCCTCCTTCAAGATGGTAGGATCAATAGTACTAGAGAGAGACAAACAAAAAATAGTGTGAGAAGGAGAACAATTAGCATATGAAAGATAAGAATGTAGGAGATAAGGAGTGCTACAAGTGGCATTCGAAGATACAATAGTAGGATAATGGTATTCAACCAAATATGAAGGTGGCCTCTTTGTTCGTGTTGAAAATTTTGGAACAGATTCAGTGATATATGGAGATTCATGGGTAAGAGAGTCAATGTTAGGTAAAGATGTATCATGATTATGCATGTTATTGTCATGAGAAGAATGCATTATGGAATGATGTAATGGTACGAGGTCATCAAAAAAAGTGGTGCAGGTGCTGTCAGAGGATGTGATGGGTGAATGTTCTTTATATGAAAAATGATATTCATAGAAAATGACATTACATGATATAAAAAAGAACTTGTTGATAATGTCATACAAAACATAACCTTTTGTACTAGGTTTGAAACCAAGAAAAATGGTTTTAGAGGCACGTTTATCAAATTTTGTTCTTCCAGCAATAATAGTAGAAACAAAGACAAGACAACCAAAAACTCTAATGTTTGTTAAATCTGGAACATGACCATGCACAAGTTCATAAGGGGATTTGAGCTTTAAAAGAGGTGTGGGTAACCTGTTTATGATGTGTATCGCCTGTTTCACAGCAAAAGACCAAAAATAAATTGGTAGATTAGCTTGAAAGAGTAAGGTTCGGCTCACATTTAATAAATGTTAATGCTTTCTCTCAACTATGTTATTTTGTTGAGGAGTCTTAACATAAGATGTTTCATGTAAAATGCCCATAGTTGAGAAAAAATCATGTAAAAGAAATTATTTTTCATTGTTTAACCGAAGCCTTTTAAGTTTTATATCAAATTGATTTTCAATAAGTTGAATGAAAGAAGGAAGAATGGTTTTAACATCAGATTTAGTTTTTAAAAGATGAACCCAAGTGAATCATGAAAAATCATCTACCACAGTTAAAAAATAGTTGAAATTATTAATTGAGAAAGAGGCAACAAGACCGTAAATATCTACATGAATAAGATCAAATAATGTAATGTTTTTATTATTACTGGTAAGAAATGGCAAACATTTCTACTTTGCAAAATGACATTATCACAAGGTGTTAAACAATCAATGACATGTCAGTGTATTTAAAAACTAAAAATTGCAACACTTTATTTGAAGTATGTCTTAATCTAATGTGTCATAATAGAGACATGTTGTCTGTGACATAATGTTGTGTGTTAGTGGCATTCAGAAAGTGTGATCCACATGAATTTGAGCCACTGGAATCTTG